TGACTAAGGCATTCACATAGCAGTTGATGTCAGGCGTCCCGTGCCAGCTGGTAAAGCAGCCATAGAAACCGGGATCTGTTACAGCACCCTGTTTTAACACAGGTGGTGTACACGACTGCCAGAGTCCGGCACTCAGGAGACCCTGGCAAGACATTTGAGGAATAAGAGCAGGTAGAGAAAGGGGAGGCCCCTGGAGGGAGAGGAAGGAGACTGAAGTTCCCCACCATCACTTTTCTTGTTGGGCCCTAGGAAACGAGTGCCTTTAGAACTTACCCCCCGCACATTGCCCACGAGGAAAGGGTCAAGCCAAGTCACCCGGCCCCAAAGTAAAGAAAACTGAGCAGGTCCGGGCATCACTGTTGGGACAGTCTTTGAAGTTTTTTGTCCTTGCAGTTTCTAAGATGCTAATGGGAACCCTGGGTAGTTGAAACTGTGACCCAAGCAGTGGTAGCCAACTTAGTATTCTGTAAGCTGCTCATAAACCCTCACCTGGAGTCAAGTTGTTCCAGCTTTTGGCCCAAAAAAGAGCTAACTCACGAATACTAAACAGTCCATGATTGATCTGTCCTTAAAGAGTCTCATGTCACACTCAGAGCCTGCAGGGCCTGCAGCCCGGGACCACGCGGGAAGGACTGTGCCCCATCTCTGAGCTGACACTTCCCAGCAGCTGCACAGTGCCCCTGAAAATCCGGCTCACAGAAGGACGAGGCCTGAGTCACCCGAAGTCCCATGAGAAGTGATTGATGGGGAACTCGCAGCAGAAGTGAACAGTTACACCATACTAAGTGAGAGGGACAGTTGTGTCTCTTAAAGATAGGAAAACACTCCCTTCTAAACCAAGTGCTGTCCACTGCCTGAGGATCAGTGCTTTAATGCACTTTAATGCTTTACTAGTGCTTTAATGCCCACGTACTTTTTTTAATAAGTAATTTTTTTTAATTTTTAATTGGAAGATAATTGCTTTACAATGTTGTGTTGGTTTCTGCCATACAACAATGTGAATCAGCCATAAATATACATATGTTTCCCTCCCTCTCATCCACCCCCCACCCCTCTAGATCGTCACGGAGCACTGGGTTGAGCTCCCTCTGCTATGTAGCAGTTTCCCACCAGCTCGCTCTATTACACGTTAGGTAATGTAGAAGCTAGGGCTTCCCTGGTGGCTCAGCGATAAGGAATCCACCTGCCAATGCATGAAACATGCATTTGATCCCTGAGTCAGGAAGATCCCCTGGAGAAGGAAATAGCAACCCACTCCAGTATTCTTGCCTGGGAAATCCCATGGACAGAGGAGCTTGACAGGCTACAGTCTATGGGGTCACAGAGAGTCAGACCTGACTTAGCAACTAAACAACAGCAGTGTAGAAGCCGAGGGCGGCTGTAGAATCTGTAGGCTTCCTTCTCTGCCTGATTCGAAAAGCAGCCTGAAATCTGGAGAGGATGTTCGCCAGAGAAACTGATGGGACCCGAGGGAAAGGCTCTGCACCCCGCAGGATGTGTGGGTGATGGTGAAAGGCACGGGCGTTTCCACAGTCTTCTGTTCTAAAGGAACAGTTGTGAGCAGGACAACAAGGTCACTTGGCCAGAGGACCCTGTGGGGCCCGTGCTCCTGTTGGTTGGTGGCACTGCTCTGGGGTCTGGTTTGCATTCTGCTCCCATAGCCTGGTTCCTTTCTGGGTAGCATCCTGTGTAACTGCTTGGGGCTGTGAGCGAGGCACCAGCCCACAGCATCCAGGGATAGGGGACCAGCCTTCACCTGGGCCCCCCACCCAAAAAACGAAAGTCGCTCAATCACGTCTGACTTTTTGCAATCCCATGAACTATTATCTGCCAGGCTCCTCTGTCCATGGAATTCTCCAGGGCAGAATACTGGAGTGGGTAGCCTATCCCTTCTCCAGTGAATCTTCCTGACCCAGGAATCAAAGCAGGGTCTCTGCATTGCAGGCAGATTCTTTACTAACTGAGCTGCCACCTTGGACCAATCAGCGACACTAGAAAAACTCACCACTCAGCCCACACGTGGACACACAAAAAGGAATGAGACGAGTCTGGAGACAGCGCCACTCTTCATAGAGGATGCCAGGCCACACCAGGCACTGGAGGACGGTCAGAACTGCATCAGGGCCTCCCGCAGTAAACCCCTGGGCGGGCCAGGGATGGAAAGGGGTGGGGCAGAGCTGCAGCCCACTCTGTTCCCTGTCAGTTCAACACCACTTACCTTCTGTGTCCGTCCACAATAATTGAAGGCAGGAGAGATGTCTCAGTGATTAAGTGGTGGTAGTAAACTTTCTGATCAAAGTGAGTATCGGAAGATAGCTGGAGAGATTACCCTTATAAATAAGTTATCTATAAAATATGTATGTCCCTGAGAATGAGAAAGATAACTAGAACCTAGATATTTAATGTGGGCACAGGGCAAGAAGAAATGAGCCTCTTCAGCTCTGAGTTCCTGGAAAGCAAAGGTCAAGTGAACGATTTTTGACTGGGGAAATTAATCCCACAGATACGTACCCTATGATATTGGTTGGTTGTTTTTCTCTTATCAGAGCTTCCCCCTCCTTCATCTCTCTTCCCTCCCTCCCAACTTCTCTCTCTCTGGCTTTCTTTTCCTAGGCTTCTAGGATGGTCCTGCACCTCGGCATGGAGGAGGCAGTCTTGGAACAGAGAGCACAAGAGTGCTTCCCTCAGTGGGTTAAGTCTAGAAGGGGCAACTTCTCTCTGCTCCATTTTCCTGGGACAGGACCTCTCTTCCTCTCGCCTCTTGAACCCAGCTATCCCCGCTGCTCAGTAGCCGGAATCACTTTGTTTTTCTCACCCCATTGTAAGACACAGGGAGTTAGTTGAAAGAGCCTCATCTTTCAATAGGTCTGAAGCTTGTGGCCATTGGAAAGGAGTTAATTCTCATGCCCACAAGAGCCCCTATTTTGACAGCTCCCTAAGGGAAGCACAGCTTTCTGGCTTTTCCATGACTTTGGTCTCCCTGTGAGCAATTTTGAACCTGTGCAGTTGGGGTGAGAGTCTCTGGCGTGTAAAGCATTGCCCTCCAGCAGATAACCATGTGTCATGGTACATCCTCCTGGGAGCTTGCCCCTTCAACAAGCCCTGTTGTCTTAAAAGAAGAAAAGGAAAAAAAAGTTTCCGTAGATGAGTTCTGCCTTGTTGAAATGACTTTCAAGACACGGAGGCTGCTGCTTCTGCAGTAGGCAGCACTTTGGGATGCAGGGGGAGACTCCTCTCTGCCACATTTCAAGGCGAGCTTATTAGACATGTGGCTGGAGGGGCCTGTGCGTCACGGAGCGGGCTAATTGGCTGCAGTGCACTCTGCCTCCAACCCATCTCCATTCTCCAATTAAACTCCCATCATCCTGTTGTCCTGGGCGACCCGCTGCTGCCTCCGATTCCATCCACATTGCTGTTTGGGTTTGGAGTGGGGATTTTTTTTTTTTTTTTTTTGGTCGTCCTTCCAATGGTAACTTAATGAAACACTTTAAATACTCCATTTTTTAATTTAAACTCTTTTAATTAAAACACTTTTCATGGAACCCTCAGTCACGAGTTATTTCCCCACATCCTTCAGTACTTAATCTCAGAGCAGAATTGGAAATATCGATAGAAAGTGTAAATCATGCCCTCCTGCTGAAAGCGTTGTATCAGGTTTCGGCTCAAAAGAGCACCATTACCTTTAGCTGTCACGGATCTGTACACTTGATCGATAAACTTCAAATATTATTAGAGGTGGAGGCTTCAGAGATTTGCTCTGTTCTTTGGAGAGAGACAGAGATAAATCTTTCTTAAAAATTGACTCGAATTTGCACTCTCCGTCTTCCTGGTGAAATGCATTTCTCTTAGGCGTCCAGCAACTGCTACGGGGACAGATTTATAGGCCATGTGCTTCTTGTACTGAAAGATTTAAATGGTAAATCCTTCACATATGACTTCACAAATCATGTAAAGTTAAAAGATTTTTACCGTTTCTGTTGCTGCTGTGCTTAAATTGTAAGGTACGGCTTGTAAATCATTTTAATGGAGGTGTCGTACTTGACTCAATAAAAAAAAAGACAATGGTTTAGCTTCCACTCGAAAATGTTAATGTATTAATCAACGGGAGAATAATTGTTTTTTACTACATTATAAATCTCGGGTGCCATTAGAATTTCAGCAAGGGGTGATGTAGCCACATTCCTAAATTAAAATTGTTTACACTGCCATACATCCATTCTGCATGGCCATAGCTCATTCGGGGTTCATTTTGGAGTTGTTCCCCAGCCAAACATGTCGTTCCTCAGTCGAAAGAAGACATCCCCAGGGAGTGATGCTTATAAAGGAAAATTAATTGCATCATGGAGTGTTAAATAAATAAAAGAAAAACCGTCTGTGGCAATGGACAATTATTCCTTGCTGTCTTTTTTTGAAATAGGTTTTTAGGTTTTTAGACAGAGGCTTACTCCCTCATACATCCTAAATGTAGCAGGCATGTCACTTGTCTCTAGTCCCCTAATCCTTGTTTTATCTCTAGGCAGCTGGGGCTTTTGAGCTCCTTGCTTTTCCCATGCAAATGCCTCGTGGGGAATAAGTTGCGGGGCATCTCTAGAAAGATGCTCCAGCCACCCTTCCACAGCTCCTGTCGCTGCCTGAAGGTGCCTTTCTGAGCTCCCTTAAATAGTTAGGTCAGCCTCCTGCATAGGATCTGCAGCTGGTTACAGAGAAGGTGAACGCCAAGACCAGGACAGGATTGGACAGACTCCATTTCTTCTCTCTCTGATCCCTAAGCGTGTTCACACGTGTTAGCATCCGATGCCGCTTGGGATGAAATTGCCTTGAGGGGAGAACAGGTCAATTCAGCACTGGACAGGTCCCCTCGGTGGCACTCGATCCATCTCGACTATCCTGACTCCTCCATTAAGAAAGAAAGTGACCTCTGATCCTGGAGGCAGTGTCTCCAGGGTTTCTGGTGTCTCCTAATAGACTCTACATCCCTATTCCTCTTCTGATCTCAACAGATTCTCGAGCAGGTGAAGAAGGCGCGATCAGGGCGGTGGACCACGCCGTGATTGGCGGCGTCGTGGCCGTGGTGGTGTTTGCCATGCTGTGTTTGCTCATCATTCTGGGGCGCTATTTTGCCAGACATAAAGGTAAGCCAGGGGGCCTCCTGTAAGCTTGGGCAGCCAGGAGGCCTCATGTCACCACGGCCCCTGCCTTTGCGGGACTTGGCAAGCTTGTCCTTGAATAGGCAGTTTGGTTTCTGGAGCCACACAGCCTCTTCGATTCCTGGAACTGGGAGAGAAAAACAAAAAAAAACAAAAATCTTAACAGCCGCTGATTAGGAAGGACTCTGAGAGTTGATGAGTACCACTCCTTGATTTGGATTTTTCTCTAAATAAAAAGCTTTATAGGTTTGTTATTCTACAATCCATCATTGGAGATAGAGTAAAAAATATAAGGGGCTGGTGTGTGAGGTGTGGTGTGAACCCCAAAATGATAAAGAGGGTAAAAGCACCCCCATGACCTTCTGCTTTGCGGGAAATATGTGGGCTAGCCCTGTGCCCCGGCCCCCAATGCTGGGGTAAGCTGGTCACAGTGGCTAGAATACTTCCTTGGTTTGATGTGCCTTAAAAGCCACATAAATATGTATTTTTAAAATTATCAGTGCAATTGATTTAAATTGCCATTAATCATCACACTTATCAACCATGCAGTCTAGATGGGCAATCATCTTTGCGAGCGCTCCTCCTCTCTACCCCACGCTGCTCTGAGCCTCTTCTCCCTCTCGGTAATTTATTCTTCCTTTTCTTTGTTGGCCCTGGTCTTTCTCGGGTATTTTTCTCAAGCGCTGTGCAGTGGGCTTCCGGGCCTTTCCTGTAGTATAAACTCGAGGCGCTGGCAGACTGCCAGATGGTAGACCTTGGGTTCAGGGTGGGTCCCCTGAGCACAGCAATGGAGGTCCAAGGTGCTTGACAATCACCTTTAGAATCCAAAGTGCCCATCTCGAGTGTAAAACAGTTTGGGGCCCTCTGTACTGGGGGTTCTGCCCACCCCCAAGAGGCAGCCTGTTTGGCGGAGAACTCCCAGCCTCTTGGTGCTAAGCTTGATGGAGCCAGGGAGGTCAGGCGAGAGCGCAGGGCTAAAGTCTGCACAATGCCTGGGAGTTGCCGGGAGGAGGGTGTACTCTACAGAGGAAAGAGGGACACGAGAGGACCGTCCGACTGCCTGCCTTCTCAGATTTGTCACTCTGAAAACGTGAAAGTTCAACAGCCTTTTCTTACTTAAGAATCTTTGCAAGCACGATACCTAACGGGAGGAGGGTGATTTGATTATCATGGGCAGTGCCAGCTCTACCTATATTTCATACAGAGGTGCAACCTTTGTCTTTCTCCACGTAAACCGTTGGGACTTGCTGATAAAGAGTGTCACCAACTCCGTTAATGTTCTGTCTATTGTCATTATAAAGTGGCTGTGCCAATTAGCAAATCCATGAATCTGGGTCCCGGCTAGAGTGACATCAGAAGCAAGAATCACGCATTTCTTAAGGCAGATCCCATGCCTTGCTTCCAGCTGTTACGACATCAAATTATTTCTCAATCTGGAACCCCATTCTGCAATGGGAGGCAGAAGAAAAATCAAATGTACTTGTGCCGGTTCAAGCACATGCTCACTAATGGACAGGCACCAGTGCCTCCTGAAGACAGGAGGTGAGGGTTCAAATAAACAATGTGAGATGACGGTAGAAAATCAGCAGGGCCCTAATTCATTTATTGGCTAATTGCTCTTCCTTGCTTTGGTCTTTAACCATGTACGTGCACATATCTGGCCATTGGTCCTGGGTGTTTACTGTCAGCAGCTCTCCAGCTTCCTGCATTTTTAGCTCCCACTCACGTCTTCTTCTGCTGACATCATCTGGTCATAATCACGGCTCTAATGTCTCATTTGCTGAATTATATCGCAGCGGTTCAGTTGGAGTGGTGCCTTTGGAACCCCCGGATCCCCATTTGTCTCACCCACCTCGCTCTCTTCTTCCAATTGTTTTCTCCCCTCTGCTGCCTGCACACCACTTCGGCTGATGATGGCCATAAAGCAAGTTGCCATCTCTATACCACTTTACACAGCGGCCATCAGACAGTCACGGTGCTTTACCCCTTCATCTTTCAGGTACATACTTCACTCATGAAGCCAAAGGAGCCGATGACGCAGCAGACGCAGACACAGCTATAATCAATGCAGAAGGAGGACAGAACAACTCTGAAGAAAAGAAAGAGTACTTCATCTAGATCAGCCCTTTTGTTTCAATGAGGTGTCCAACTGGCCCTATTTAGATGATAAAGAGACAGTGATATTGGAACTTGCGAGAAATTCGTGTGTTTTTTTATGAATGGGTGGAAAGGTGTGAGACTGGGAAGGCTTGGGATTTGCTGTGTAAAAAAAAAAAAACGAAAAGAAATGTTCTTTGAAAAGTACACTCTGCTGTTTGACACCTCTTTTTCTGATTGTTTGGTTTTTCAATTTTTATTTCTTCCTACCAAGTCAAACTTGGACGCTTGGATTTAGTTTGGATAGATTGCAGAAAATTCTGTGCCTTGTTTTTCGTTTGTTGGTTGCGTTCCTTTTTTTCTTTTCCCTCCCTCCTTTGTGCAAATTTATTTTTCCCAACAAATTTTTGGATTTTTTTTTTTTTCCCAAGATCTCCCATTTTGGAATTTGCCTGCTGGGATTCCTTAGAGCCTTTTGACCCTCCTTATTTTGTTATTGTTGTTCCTTTCCTTCGTTTATTTTTGAAGTTTTCTGTTCAAAATTCAGTTTCATAAAAGGAGAACCAGCACAGTTTAGATTTCATAGTTCAGAATTTAGTGTATCCATAATGCATTCTTCTCTGTTGTCGTAAAGATTTGGGTGAACAAACCATGAGAACTCTTTGCTGCTGCCCATGTTTCAGATACTTTAGAGCAGTGAAGACTAGAAACTTAGACTGTGATTCAGAAACTGTTCTGTTTGCTGTGGAACTACATTACTGTACAGGGTTATCTGCAAGTGAGGTGTGTCACAATGAGATTGAAACTGTCTTTAATTCCGTATCTGTAGACGGCTCAGTATAGATAATACCCCGCGCTGTCCAGAAAGGTTTGGGGCAGAAAGGGCTCCTCCTTTTTCAGTGCCCTAAACAGACCTGACAGGTGAGGTCTGTTCCTTTTATATAAGTGGATGAATTTGAGTTGCCACAGGAGGGGAAGTAGGGAGGGGGGAAAGACAGTTCTGCTCTGGTTATTTCTGTTCCAAATGATTCCATCCACCTTTCCCAATCGGCCTTACTTCTCACTAATTTGTAGGAAAAAGCAAGTCCATGTGGTGTGTGAATGACTGAATGGGACAGGTTTTTGGTTTTTTTTTCTCTTTCTTTTTCTTTTTTTCCTTTGTGCTTAGTTAGGAAGGCAGTGGGATGTGGCCTGCATGTACTGTATATTACAGATATTTGTCATGCTGGGATTTCCAACTCGAATCCGTGTGAAACTTTCATTCCTTACGATTTGGCTTGACAAAGGCAGGAGGTACAAAAGAAGGGTCGGTATTGTTCTCAGACCGGTCTGCCGTCCATCTCAGTTCTCGAAAGGTCAGAGCAGAGGTGGAAAAGCAGCATGAAGGGGTTTTTCAGTTACTTAATCAAAACTCAGATGTGAGTGTTTTTATCTTTTTACCTTTCATACACTAGCCTTGGCCTCTTTCCTCAGCCTTAAGATCCATCTGCCAAAAAATTACTGATCCTCGCATGATGGCAGCCATAGTGCATAGCTACTAAAATAAGTTACCTTGAACATATCTAAGATGGGGAGCCTTGGGAAAAGGAAGAGGAGTCCAGTTACCATTGACATTTTTTAAAGAAATGGGATTTTCATTGAAACGTCTAGGAAATCTAGAAGTAGTCCTGACGGACGAAAACTAAACTCTTACCATATGCTTTGGTAAGGCTCCAGACTCCAGAATACAGTCCCTATGGAAAGATGGCATCAAAAAAAAAAAAAAAAGATAGATCTATATATATATAAATATATATTATATAACATTTTCAGTGAGTAATTTTGGATTTTGCAAGGTGCATTTTTACTATTGTTACATTATGTGGAAAACTTACGCTGATTTATTTAAGGGGAAAAAGTGTCAACTCTTTGTTATTTGAAAGCGTGTTTATTTTTCTTGTCTTTATTTTAACCTTTGATAGAACCATTGCAATATGGGGGCCTTTTGGGAACGGACTGGTATGTAAAAGAAAATCCATATCGAGCAGCATTTTGTTTTCCCCTCTCCTATCCCTAGGCACTTAACCAAGACAAAAAGCCACAATGAACATCCCTTTTTCAATAAATTTTATAATGTGCAGCTCTATTCCGAGCCCTTAGCACCCATTCCGACCATAGTATAATCGTATCAAAGGGTGAGAACCATTTAGCATGTCGTTGAAAGGTTTTTTCCAGCTGTTCTTTTTAGGAAAAAAACAAAAACAACAACAAAAAAAAGAAAAAAAAACCCACCATTGCTCATCGGATTGGCATCTCATTTTTGGGGACCTCCCATCTTTCTGTTTTGACAAGTGTACAGTAGTGCAGTGCTCCGATGTGACTCTATGGCTTAAAATGTCGACATGTCTCAGGTTCATGTGTTTTGATTGGTGTTTTCCGTCTCAGGTAGATTGCAAAGTGTAGGCCCCACGCATTGGAAAAATAATAATAATAATAATAATAATAAAACAAAGCAAAAACAGGAAATTATGGATTTTAGTTGTATATTGGTTTATGTATTTTTTTCTTAAGTATACAGTGCACTGTTTGAAATGTATTGTTGAGTATTACTTTGTACAGGTTGATCACTTTTTTTAGAGTGAAGAAAGAACAAACTTGTTTTTTGTGTTTTTTAAAGGAATATAAAATAATGAAGGATGTATAATTGATGCCAAATAAGCTTGTTCTTTAGTCACACCGACGTCTGACTTTTCCCTTTAGGCCAGTTCTGTTTTTAAGGTGTACATGAACAATGTTACGGTGTAAGAAATTCCATATCCATATGTTCCATTCGCATTTTGTATTGGTTCATGTATACCATTTTTACAAAAAAAAAAGAAAAAAAAAGAAGTACTATAAAATATCTGTCTTCTTAATAAAAAAAAATTAATGTTACAAAGTGATCCTTTCATCTCATTATGGACTTCTTACGGACGCCTCAGCCTGGGAGACGATGGGCCCCTGGTCCAACGTCCACCTTTGGACCGCATGCAGCGCCGGATACACGGGCAGTAGGTGCTCGGAGGTGCTGTTGGCTGGGCTTCTTGGAGCCACCTGCTCTTCCTCCGCTTATCCTTCCTGTTCTCGTTCTCTCCTCCCCTCTTAGCGGACAGGTGGGCCAGGTGTCTGGCATCGCGTGGGGACCCAGTGATTTGTGCAGGTGCACCAGCTGCAGTGGCAGGCCAGCGGGGAACGGCCCCTCCGGTGATCCGTCTCCTGCCCCCACTCCCCTGTTTCCACCCACCACCCCACCCACCCCCCTATGTTGGCTGCTCCACCTGTCTCTTCCTTTGGGATTTCGTGTCTTCACAATCATCCTTCCTTCTTCATTTCAAGTACTCTCTCCTTTAACAAAAAGACAAGATCTGCAGAGGACGCGCCTGGCTGCCTGCGGGAGATCGCTCTCACTTACTGTCTAGGCTGCCGGGGCTTCCGGGCTGGGTGGACCGCCTGCTTCGATCTGTCACCTTCCCCCTTGCCTTGCAGGCCCAGGCGAGCAGTGACCACACTGCACGGCGGCCAATCTCTCAAATGCTCAGATCACACGTGAGCGGCCCCAGACGGCCCTTTCCCACTGCTCACCCAGCTGTGGCTGAGTCCGTCCCGCTTTTCTCTCTCCAGGCAGGTGACGGGGAGAGCTCGGCAGTGGGAGGAAAGGTAAGCTCTAGAAAATCCAAATGAGGCTGTGGGCCTCAATTCAGCCTCTCCCATCCCGGCCTGGCCTCTCACCTGTCTCTGTAAAAATCAGTAAATCAGACACGCGGTTATGGAGCTCCTGCTGCACGTTCAGCCTTGTGAGAAACACAGGGAAGTGTAAGGTCGTCCCTGGAGACTTAACAGGGGCATCAGTGACACCCACAGGAAAACATGAATTGGTCCCCAGCCATGGGGGAGGTATCCCAAATATAATTAAGGAGACCAGAGACTGCCAGGGGAATTTCTTGGAGAAGGGAAACCAGGGGGCCGGAGACTCAAGACAGCGTCTTGGAGGAGCTGGGACCCCAGCTGGATGTTTAAGGATGGTTTAGTAGAAAGAGAAGGAGGTACAAACAGCAGTAAGCCCAGCCAGCCTGCTGATTCGCATGGGAAGAATAAAGCAAAATCAAGGAAGGCGTGGAGGGTGGGATCAGTCTTGTGGGTGTTCTCAAAGTCCAGACAAGAGTTAAGATTCCAGAGGCCTCTCCCAGCCTCTGCCCCAGGGCAGGGAGCAGTGGGGAGCCCTGATTCATCGGCCTCTGTAAAAAGACCTGTAGTGATAGAGCCTAGAGATCAAGGGAGACTGGAGAGATCTAAGCGACTGCCTGGGTCCCTATCCCCACCCCATCATTTGTTAGCTGTGAAACCTTGGGCCAGTTCCCCCACCTACCTGGCCTTGTTTTCCTGCTCTGTAAGGGTGGGGTCCCCATGTTAAGAGAGAAGTCAGGTTGGCTGGAAGTGCTTAGTGAATAATATGCCAGATGTCGACTAAGCACCCATCACTTGTTAGTCATAATACAGGATAGACGCAAATGGTGGTTAAAGAAAGAAGGTTACCCAAGGCTACCAAGATGCGGTTAAGACTCAAGTGGAGGGAGCTATCTGGGCTCCTATGCATGTGGACACCCTGTGCCCTTGTGAAGCTGGTCTTAGAACGTCCAAGGATCCCCTTGTCCTCACCACTCACTAGTGTAGTTATTCCAGGCCACACGGCATGTGGAATGTTTAGTGTCCCACACCCACTCCCCTTGTCTGTAACATGAGACTCCAGATTCAGCTGTGACCTGCAGAGAAGGGAGACCCAAGAAAGACCTTAACTGAACTGAGGCAAATGTGAGGTGGTGGTTGAGTTCCATGGGTCTGCAAAAAAGAAGGTGCCCGAAGCAGCCCACATCAGCAGGAGCTTGATAAGTGGCCTGGTCCTTCCTTTGGTGTGGGAGTGAAACGGTCCTCAGTTCCTCCAGAGAGTTTTCACAAATGTTTTGGCCAGCTTGCATTCTCCAAATACATCAACTGGAACCCTGAGG